CTTGTGTTAGCCCCCTAATGCCGAGCGCCAGATAGGGTAACAAAAAATACCATCTTTTAACGTCTTTTGGTATGACGCGTCCGGGGATCGAACCCCGGACCTTCCGCTCTCCGTTAAACCACCTCACCTACACAAAGGGCAATTCAAGAGTAGTCAAACGTTCAAACGTATATTTTTCATTGTCATGTTTCTAAACCACAATAGGCTTTATAATTCACGTTTCTACTAACAAACGTTGCATTCAAGAATATTCAGGAACTTTTAAGCGACATCATATGTGTACGTTTCGATATTTCTACTCCACACCTATCACGAATTTATGCTCCGGGTGTTTCAAAGGTTTCCCTAATCGCCCACAGACGTATATTGTATGCCTGGCCGAATGCCGACAATTGGCCTCAGGAGTATTCACCGGAGCATGGTCGACATACAGAAACCCTAGGCTGACTCTACACCCTGTCTCAATGGGGTACACCGGTCTGTGTGTGCGTACATACCGCTTCTCGTGTACAGGTTCCTTGTGAAAGGTATTGTATTCACGTCGACCTGTGAATGTCACTGTACACATGTCGACCTGTGAATGTTACTGTACTCATGTCGACCTGTGAATGTTGCTGTACACATGTCGACCTGTGAATGTTGCTGTTCATGACGACCTGTGAATGTTGCTGAACACATGTCGACCTGTGACTCTTGCTGTACACATGTCGACCTGTGAATGTTGCTGTACACATGTCGACCTGTGAATGTTACTGTACACGTGTCGACCTGTGAATGTTGCTGTACACATGTCGACCTGTAAATGTTGCTGTTCATGTCGACCTGTGAATGTTGCTGTACACATGTCGACCTGTGAATGTTGCTGTACACATGTCGACCTGTAAACGTTACTGTACACATGTCGACCTGTGAATGTTGCTGTACACATGTCGACCTGTGATTGTTGCTGTACACATGTCGACCTGTGAATGTTGCTGTACACATGTCGACCTGTGAATGTTGCTGTACTCATGTCGACCTGTGAATGTTGCTGTTCATGTCGACCTGTGAATGTTACTGTACACGTGTCGACCTGTGAATGTTGCTGTACACATGTCGACCTGTGAATGTTACTGTACACGTGTCGACCTGTGATTGTTGCTGTACACATGTCGACCTGTGAATGTTGCTGTACTCATGTCGACCTGTGAATGTTGCTGTTCATGTCGACCTGTGAATGTTACTGTACACGTGTCGACCTGTGAATGTTGCTGTACACATGTCGACCTGTGAATGTTACTGTACACGTGTCGACCTGTGATTGTTGCTGTACACATGTCGACCTGTGAATGTTGCTGTACATGTCGACCTGTGAATGTTGCTGTTCATGTCGACCTGTGAATGTTGCTGTTCACAAGGGCTTGAAGTTTCCAATACATCAGTCTGTGAATTAGGCAGCAGGATATTTAGTTAATAGGTAAGCTAAGGAAAATAGTATGCGTAAAACAGGTTAGATTAAAATTCACATGAATGAACATCGATCCCAATGTTTTTTTCAAGTTAATGTATCTGTAAATAAATCTACCCTTCGGGAAAGAACCCAGGTACCCTGGATATCTTTGGATCCATTTCAATCGGGAATACTTCGCTCTGAATTAGGTAAATTTCGTAGGTCGTTAATCCGGAGTTTTGATGGAAAGCTAAACGTTCTTGTAAAACCTAACTTTGTGGTGTTTAATTCTGATGGTGTCATACTACCAGTTCTGTACCAATATTGTGTGTAGGTCCAATTTGCCTAGACGTGTATTCTTATACGACAGTACACTAACTATGGTTGTTGGACATACATTGAACAGTGAATGATTACATACTGTTTAAGTCCACGGTCAGCTATACCTAGGTCAGATCACAGAGGCTTGGAAATAATCAAACATGAACCACTCAAACAAGGGGGTGATAGCACGAGCAAACGATCAACGTCGTATGACGTCAGACCTGACCCTCATTTCAATTACCTCTTACGACTGCATGACTACATGCTGTTTGACGCCACACGATATTTGATCTATAGCCCTACGGCCTAAAATTATCGAATCTGGTCCAGACAAACCGATGTTATGAGCAACGTTTACCGCCAACGGGATCAGATGACAACCAATCCACTAAGTTGCATGGTTTGACCCCCTGATTAATTTACTCGCCTCTTTTGACAAGCATGGGTTTCTGGGGACAAATTCTAACCATGTCTTACTAACGGGTCTTGCGGTAGAGCGTCCGTCAGGAGAGCGTAAGGTCCTGGGTTTGATCCCCGGCCGCGTCATACCAAAAGACGTTAAAAGATGGTACTTGTTGTTACCCTGTCTGGCGCTCGGCATTAAGGGGCTAAAACAAGGACTGGTCGGCTCGGAGTCAGTATACTGTGTCTGAGTGAGGTATTCATGTTTAACTGCGGCATGGTATCTCAGTGAGCTAGCACTATAAATCGGCATCAGTCCGGACTAGTACAAGCAGCCACACACACACACGCACGCACGCACGCACGCACGCACACACACACACACACACACACACACACACACACACACACACACACACACACACTGTGTGACGGCATGGGTTGCCAAGACATCTTTTATTTAGAATATATCTTAATGGTTTTACAAAAACCTAGGATATGAGGCAAATATACCTCGTATTATGAACATATTTATGGAAAACGTAGAGTTTCAGATCTGTGGGAGCACAGTGGTGCCACAATTCACAGTGATGAGTTGCGTCCTTTGGACATGCCAGAAACCAATGGTTGTGAGTTCGAATCCCGGTTCGCCTCGATTATGTGTGTCAGCATCATACCCGTGCTCGTGGGTTTCACTAAAACAGTAAACGTCTGGGACGTGAAACCTACACGTGACGCTGCACATGTTACATTCACTTAGCTATTGCCCACATCATCTGTATATCAAAATAATACCGTACATAAAGCAAAAATAAACCTCGTTAATCCAAACGGCGTTGTTCACATTAAAAGCTTCCGGAATACAAAAGTTTTGACGACTAATTTTGCGTATAATGTCCATTGAAATTTATAGACAATATTCGCGGGGTGGCGCGGTTTCCGGGCTCACGGGGGGGCTCACTGTTAAGTGCAGAAAGTGCTAACCTGTATTTATATATAGCCCAGTTGGTAAAGCGTTCGCAGCAGATCCGGGCTCGAACCTCACAGGGTTACAGTGTCTTTGTCTAACCTAATTTACCTTTCTCATCATCACGCCTGTTGCTCATGCACGAGACATACGTCAAGTGAGATCCCCTTATACTTTAATCTATAATCCACTAAATCCATAAGGCAAAACCTCTTCGATCACCGCGAGATAACGCCAGGGGTAATGTTGTCGTATGTTAAAGGGGCCTATGCTAAGCACGAGTTCTTGCTTATTGTTTAGGCTTAGTCTAAAGCACATGTCCCTTTAAGTAGAACTACACTGACCAAGACTCGGATTAGATTTCTCTACATGGTAGTGGTCAAAACATTATAACTGTTCACAGGTATTATAATTATGATGCAAATAGGGACCGAAATATATATTCACCTGAAGAAAGTAAAGCACAAATGCTGCATTTTTATATATTCCCATCTTCGCGAAAAATAGGTCCCCGGCAATTAATGCTTGTTGTAAGAGGCGACTAACGGGATCGAGTGGTCAGGCTTGCTGACTTGGTTGATGCAAGTCATCGTATCCCAGTTGGGTAGATCGATGCTCATGATGTTAATTAGCATCTGATGTGAAGAATGGTCCGACTATTGACCAGACGCGACAGTTTACATAGACCGTCATACAGACTGAATATTGCTGAGTGCGAGACTCAACAACAAACAAACAAACAAACAAACAATCAATCAAACAACAAATCGTGGAATATCTACGTAAGTCGTTGACCCTATTTTTATCAATGTCTAAAATACCATCGTTGCATCATGAACAGTTGGTGCAACAAAACTGTATGTTCCTTAAGATGAAGTACTGGGTCCACTTGCACAAATCGATCTTAGTGCTAAGATGATGGTAACTCCCATAATTTAACATAGGCTTACGATAGTCTTAGCGCTAAGATCGCTTTGTGCAAGTGGGCCCTGGTCCTGTCATATGATGCCGAGAAAAAGAGGAAGCAGCTGGGAAATATTCAGATAACTATTGCCATGGTTACATAATCCATTTCTGTTTCTGTATTTCAAGAATATTTTTTTTTTAAATTATGAGTATGTCACTAAGTTAAAAAAACCAAATGTGTTTCGATAGAAAAAAATAACGGATACTATCTTAAATAATAGTTACTGAATATAAGCGGTGCTTCATTATTTCGCAAGAGTACCAACACATATATGTATTATAAGCAGTGAGCAGTATTTGATACCAATAACACATGTTCTAATACAAAAAAAGGAATGTAATATATATTTCCGATATATATAATTTATCTATCTTAACAGGTGTTGTAAAACAAATATAGATGACAGTGAGATTATCGGTGCGATGAAACTAATTAATTCTCTGGTATGCAGAACCTGTTAATTACGCACACGTTTTAATACAACTAGCTAGGCTGAGTGGGTCAGAGCTTTAGGTGGGCGTGAATATGTATGATATGTATTCCAGTTCATATATAATTAAGGATATTAGGACATCATAATTGCGACTGTATTCTATACTAATAACAGTGAAAACCGTGCCTGTGTATTTCACACTGACAAAATGTGTGTCGTCATGTTTCTATATGTACAGAAAAGAATTACTTGCGTATGCCTGTTCACGCCCCCCTCGTTCTAAGATCGCGGGGCTGTGTATTGAATTAAATTACAGCCAGCCAGGGGTGAGTTTCGCGTTGGAGAGAATTAAAAACCATTGAGGTGCCATGTGCATCCAAAATACAACAATCAGCCTGGTATTCATTCACGGATGTCATTTTATCAGTTTGTGTAATCAATTTCTTATGGTGTTTACAATGACTTTAAACTATCTCACCTTTTCACAGATAAGAGCTTGTGCTGTCATTCACGTCTCAAGGAACAGTTTTCATTGCTTTCGTCCAATACTACGTAAAATCCAGTGGATATTTCCACAACAAGTTAACGCTGGTAATATCACTCGAGCACAAGTCCAATATTACCCGCTTCAAGTGTTTAGCTGTCAGACCGAGCGGTGGTGCATTCGAGTCACGTGACGTACCGGCTAATCTCGTGTCACCATGGTGTCAAGAATTGTTTACAAATGGCGGCATGGGGATATCTCGGCGAGCGGTCAAGCTGTTTTACACACATGTCGTTTTAAAAGCCACTCGATCAGTTTTTATAAAATGTTTGGCTTGGATTGGACCCTTCAACCGCTGTTGAATCGATTCGTACATTAGTAAAGCAAATAAAAAGACGCACCTGTCGGTGTGTGGACGTTCTGTGGGGGGTGGAAAGCATATGATTGTCGGTGAGGGTTATCGTGTTGCCTGAGAGATTGTATCTTGGGGCCAGAGAGGACTATGTAAAGACAATATACAATGTCGGCCATTGGCACGCGGCGATAATTGGCAGCTAACAATACACAGTTGGCAGTAATTACCGTTATTCGGGAGCAATTCGCTTTAGGAATCCAAGAAATGCAATATGTTAATAGGTTGGTGTTGTCGGTGTAAGTGTAATTGTAACATTTAAATAACATAAGATAAGTTATAAATGTGTTTGGAGTGTTTCAGAATGAATGATATCAGCACTACATGCTGACGGTAAACCCTCACAAGAGACTGAGCTGGGCTGTCCATAATGTGTTTGCTCTAAATTGTAAATCGATCTGTGAGAGATTCTCATGAAGTTCAGGACATCGAAACAATAGGTTTTACCTACTAAGCAATTATATCGTGAAATTATGATTTTACGTTGCAGGAGTGAGTATGGTTTTACGCCGCTTTTAGCAATGTTCCAGCAATATCACGGCGGGGAACACTAGAAATTGGCTTCACACATTGTACCCATGTCGGGAATCGAACCCGGGTCTTCGGCATGATTAGCGAACGCTTTACCCACTAGGCTACCAAACCGCCCCCCCCCTATAAATAAATTACCAATCCCTAAATAATGTTCAAATTAATAACTGCGTCATTGTTTTAATGTGGCGACACCCCCCCCTGTGATCAATTATCAGTCCTTATAAAACATGAATTATACAAAATTGATCTTACTGAACAAGATTTTATGGAGACAATTTGTCACGTGACAATTCAATGCCTAAATGTTAGGATATTTGCGCACTTGTGTCATGATGTTTTTCAGATACTGAGTCTGGACGGTATCATCATCGGATACATACGTTTGCCTGACATCACCATGATTTCTTGAACATGCATTGTGTAATCACGTGGTTTCTACATCTTACAACTGTATAAGCACTGCATGTGCTTGGAACATATTTACCGTATAAACATTTCATGTGCTTGGAACATATTTACCGTATAAACATTGCATGTGCTTGGAACATATTTACCGTATAAACATTTCATGTGCTTGGAACATATTTACTGTATAAACATTGCATGTGCTTGGAACATATTTACTGTATAAACATTGCATGTGCTTGGAACATATTTACCGTATAAACATTTCATGTGCTTGGAACATATTTACCGTATAAACATTGCATGTGCTTGGAACATATTTACTGTATAAACATTGCATGTGCTTGGAACATATTAACCGTATAAACATTGCATGCGCTTGGAACATATTTACCGTATAAACATTGCATGTGCTTGGAACAGATTTACCGTATAAACATTGCATGTGCTTGGAACATATTTACCGTATAAACATTGCATGTGCTTGGAACAGATTTACCGTATAAACATTGCATGTGCTTGGAACATATTTACCGTATAAACATTGCATGTGCTTGGAACATATTTACTGTATAGACATTGCACATGTGCTTGGAACATATTTACTGTATAAACATTGCATGTGCTTGGAACATATTTACCGTATAAACATTGCGCATGTGCTTGGAACATATTTACCGTTAGGGACGTTCAACTTCACAAACGTAATGCATTTAACAGGGTCAAGTTCAGCATTAGCCTAACGCTTAGTCTCTGAAAATAATCATTTTGATAGAAATAAACAACTCCATTTAAATTGAAAAGGAGCACCATATGAGATGGGAGATTGAGAATCTTTGGAAAATCTAGAAGTGTTTAATTTTTTCAAAGCTCAATACTCCTTGTGTTATATAATTTGTATACTGTAACGCGAGATCAATTTACGATTTGACCATTTATGTGCATAAAATGTAACATACAGTATGTGAGATCTGTGAGATAACACAGCATCTGTTATTCTGTATATGGCTATAACACCATGTTCATTTAGTAGTACAAGTGGGGGCACGGGTGGCCCAGTCGTCTAAGGCGCCGCCATTCGCTGTGCAGAGTTGCGTCCCGTGGGCACGCCAGAAACCTGTGATTGTGGGTTCGAATCCCGGTTCGCCCCGATTATGTTTCTAGGTTTGTCAGCACCATACCCGTGCTTGTGGGTTTCACCGAAGTGGTAAACGTCTGAGACCTGCATCACTTCTGGCTTTCCTCCCACATTAGAGCTGACACGCCGCGATATAACTGGAATACTGTTAAAAGCGGCGTTAAACCCAACTCACTCACTGTATTCGATGTATGTACTGAGTATCACATTTCATAACGCAACATGCAGAAATGGTTGAATAATGGACAAAAAGGACATTTCCAATATGGCTGCTGCTGCGGCCATGTTTATAGTCAGATCGGGATCCCGTGAGCTGTTCCCAACCTTACACAGGTTCAGTTTGAGGTTCCAAATGATATGCCCCTTCGTGAAGATCCGGGTTAGAATTGATCATCAGCAACCCCTGCTTGCCGTAAGAGGCAACTAACGGGATCGGGTGATCAGGCTCGCTGACGTAGTTGATATATGTCATCGTTTCCCAATTGCATTGATTTATGCTCATGATGTCAATCACTGAATTGTCTGGCCCATATCATTTACAGAGCGTTGTCATATAACTGAGATATTGCTGAGTGTGGCGTTAAACAAGAAACGAACACACAAACAAGCATATGCGAAAAGGTTACAGACGGACAGACGGACGGCAGCGGACGACGATCCACTCCAAAAGCTCATGTTAAGGAAACATACATGTCTGTTCATGCTCGATAAGTTTGGTGGACATACGAGACACATTCTCCTCAAGAATTATTTTTTGAGAAATGATCTGTTCCATTTTCTGACGAAACATTGGCCTTATCACCTCGGCAACTTTAGTGCTTATTGCTGTGAGAACTTCCGTGTTTTTCAAAGCTTTTACCAGTTCAGAAGTAAGAGAATCAGAGGTGGGGCTATTAACAGGTACATCTAAACTTTCGGTACTCATCCTGGTAGAGGTGTTAGAAATATCCAAAATTGAGATGTTAGGACACTGACGTTTCAAGTCAAAGTCTATTTCCGAGTCGGGTGATGTGAACACTTCGTCTCTGTTACGTTATGTAGTGAGAGGCGTAGTTTAGATAGATGTCTCCATGCGCTGTGCGCTAATGTCAAATACTGTGAAAATCATTCGTACTCACTCTGTGAAGTTGTGATAATTCCGTGATATGTCCATGAAATCCAAATGAATTATATGCACATCGCAAGACACAAGAGACAATGAGTTAGCATCTCACACGCACGTTGATGGCGTGGACCACGACTTTCACGGATCACTTACATTCAGTCAATCCAACACCCATCGTCCAAACTACAAATCATCATCCTCCGCTTTTCATATATTATGTACTGGAGACCATTTGGGATTTATAGGTTGAAGATTTAGTTGTGAAAGTTAATTCCTACATCATGAAGCGCAGCTATGCGGAGTCAGCTCTCCGTAACACGTGAATTTTTCTCTATTACAGAAATCGTTCCGCTTCATTAGTCTTTTGAAAGTAGTCCCTCCGATACAGTTTCTTGTTATGTTAGTGAGGTGGTTGGGCGTTGATTTTCTCAGATGTGGAAGTTGAGGTGAATCAAAGCAAGATGTAGATACACAAACGAACATCAGTAACATACTTGATGCCACGCACGTATGGTCCAGGGCCAGCGATGTGCCTTGCGTGCTACACATGCTTGCCCTGTTTTTGAAATCGTATTGTGATATGTTCTGTACAAGAAAACATTGACAGTCCATACTATCTGCACAAGAACACATTGACGGTCCATAGTATCTGTACTGGAAACATCGACGGTAAATATTATCTGTACTGGAAAACATTGACGGTCTATATTATCTGTACCAGAAAACATTGACAGTCCATACTATCTGTACAAGAACACATTGACGGTCCGTAGTATCTGTCGAAGAAAACATTGATGGTCTATATTATCTGTACTGGAAAACATTGACGGTTCATACTATCTGTAAAAGAAAACATTGACGGTTCATAGTATCTGTCGAAGAAAACATAGACGGTCTATTCTATCTGTGCTGGAAAACATTGACGGTCCATAGTATTTGTACTAGAACACATTGACGGTCCATAGTATCTGTACTGGAAAATATTGACAGTCCATATTATCTGTACTGGAAAACATGACGGTCTATATTATCTGTACTGGAAAACATGACGGTCTATATTATCTGTACTGGAAAACATGACGGTCTATATTATGTGTACTGGAAAACATGACGGTCTATATTATCTGTACTGGAAAACATTGACGGTCTATAGTATCTGTACTGGAAACTATTGATGGTCCATATTATCTGTACTGGAAAACATGACGGTCTATATTATCTGTACTGGAAAACATGACGGTCTATATTATCTGTACTGGAAAACATGACGGTCTATATTATCTGTACTGGAAAACATTGACGGTCTATAGTATCTGTACTGGAAAACATTGACGGTCTATAGTATCTGTACTGGAAAACATTGACGGTCCATAGTATCTGTACTGGAAAACTTTGACTGTCCATATTATCTGTACTGGAAAACTTTGACTGTCCATATTAACAAAATCCCACAGATTCAGACAATGTAATTTTCACAATCACACACTTTGTTTTTTTATGCTTTTATAAACAACTACTATGATAATGCTCTCGTCATAAAAAACTGTACGTTGTGATTTACTGTGGATTTCGAGATGATTGTGACATGAAAGTTTGTAATGTACCGAAGTGATGCTATACGACGGATACGAATAATACAGATACAATAACCCTGTATTAGCACGTTTGAGAGGCACGTCACGTTTACCAACTGATTGCGTCCGGCTTTCGACGTATACGATATGCACTGAGTGGGCTTACCAGAGCTGCTTCTACCGAGTCCCTTCAATGCTTGATTGTAACACAAAAGGTAAGCACCAGGACCCACTTGCACAAAGCAATCTTAGCGCTAAGACTATCTTAAGCCTATGTTAAAGAATGGGAGTTACAATCATCTTAGCGCTAAGATCGCTTTGTGCAAGTGAGCCCAGTTTCTTTTTGTTGGATATTACAGATTTGTAAATGGTAATAAAAGCTAACAGAATTCGTTCTAGCACACGAAAACGCCTGGGGATAAGCGACAACTATTAGGAAGATACGAGTGGATCCTCGTCTCTGCCTCGTTCAGTCATGGGCGCCATGGGGACTTGAACGTCATCCAAACGCATTATCATCAAATCTAAACTTAACGAACCATAGAATTAGACCTCGACTCATTGAAAGCAGTTCACTGATGTAAGCTCACACTTTAAGACACGGTACAGGTGTAGCAGGGCGTGGTGTCACACCAAACAGTTGACATCTTCACCGCCTGCTGACGAGGTCTTAACTTTATTGGTCTTGTTAACTTTTTCAATTACATAGATCGATAATTTATTCGTACAAAACTGTTGGGCAACAGGCAAGTAGTATACAGCATTTAGGAAGCGGTTTTATACAACATAAACTTACTTCTAACTGACATCGCATGATACATATATATTGACAAATTGCGTATAACATCAAGTTTAACTGAAGATATTAGAGTGACAAATTTGTGGATACTTGGATTCACAAAAAGCTGTCTTTTTAAGTGTATACTTCTTAGATTATCACATGTGTGGAATATTAACAGGAAGTGATATCCATCTTCAATAATTCTAGATTACACTGATTACAAAATCTTAATTGTCTACATATATATATCACTATCTCTAGTGATCTTTTCGCGATTCCGAGCCTTGCGCATTACCATTGTCACCACCTGGTTGAGTGGCTTCCTTCCATCAACGTGAAAGGATTACCCACAACCAATTTCGTCTAATAATAAACTGTTACCTTTGGTATCCCTTGCAATACTCATTATGGTCATTGGGCAGATGTTAACATCACAAACCCTAACGAGATTCTGTGTACATGGTCACACCCGGTGATTGTAAAGATCTCAAATTCTATCAAAGTCAGACAACATGGCTGTTCATATTCATTACCAATCTTCTCTTAGAATTAGTTATACACATTAGAATCCCACACAAAACTTTCTCTTATCAATTCTTACAAAATACAAAACAGAAAGTGAGGAGTGGGGAAATGGGACATATCCCTACGTGAAAAAATAAGACATTAGTATTGGTGACATCTCTATCATAATTGTACTATCTAAAGCATAAATTTGGCGTACGAAAAGCGTAATATTTGCAATCACCTGGAATGACTCGCGTTGGCAAAACTGAAAACGAATATGTCCGCAATCCACAAACAATGACTTCATAAATGGCGAACATTTACCAACCCGCGACAATCGTGTCAACTCGGTGTTCCCGCAATAAACTCGCATCTAAATTCACCACTGTTCTACTGTCGGCTAGCTACAATGGCTAGACGGGACCCTAGTGGAATGAGCCATGCCATAAAAGTCCAGCAACCGAACACTAATTTAGACGGTCCGACCTTGTGTTTATGGTCTGGTGAACACAGGTCAATGGCTCCTCATTAACTAAGGATTCACATCTCACTGTTTTGTTTTATCTCACTATTCATTTGATAGATTCATTTGTCAAATTCAACTGAAACCTGGTCCCGTGTTACATGCATGGCACACGCATGTGCAACGAGTGACCCACGCGTGCACAACGGGTTGAACACGCGCTGCACACCCGTTGCACAACGCGTGTTCAACGGGTGCTCAACCCGTGTTCAACCCGTTGTGCACCCGTGTCACATGCGTGTGACACGCGTTCTCAACGCGCGTTAGGGGAATGAACTTCTAGGCAGTACTGTATGCCAGACTAGTAGGTGACAGGTGTTTTATTCTGTACAATTTTAATTTTTAAAAACCAAACCAATTCTTTAGGAATGATAGCGGGATCAATCTTCAATAGTAGACCTTGGTTTACCTACCCCTACGCAATCACAATGGGCTTCATTTACCCTTGACGTTTAGGATGCTATAATCAATCATAAAATAAATGCGTCACAAAGTATATAGACGCCAGTGGCTCGTCTACGGAAGTTTACACTTTCTCGTAATCGCAAACAACACAAAGGCCCTCTCATTTTTCACTTTTGAATACTGACTGACCCGTGAAGACCCGGGTTAGAATATCTTTAGCAACCCATGCTTGCCGTAAAAGGCGACTAACGGGATCGGGTGGTCAGGCTCGCGGACTTGGTATACGCATGTCATCGTATCCTAATTGCTTAGATCGATCCTCATGATGTCAGTTACTGGTTTGTCTGGTCCAGACTCGATTATTTGCATATGTTTCGTGATATCCGTCGTCGAGACAGCCATACATTTCCGTATATATGAAGTGTGAACATTTTTCGGTATAGTTGAAATGTTTAAATCTAGTTATCTCAGTGAACATAATGGGGATGTAATCTCTCTGGATAATGCCTTGACATTATGAGTTTCATGTAGCTAACCCATACCGCCATTGCTACACCAATGTAATCAGGTGTGTCAAAAAGTGGGATCATGGCGCATACAATGCAGATTAGGACTATGTCTTGGACATAAAAGGAAGAGTTGTTTCGTCATTGCAATTCATGGTTCCTTTTCAAGTTATTCCTCCCATAATCCCTGTCTAGCTGCCCCTTTGTGTATCTAATCCCCCGTTTAAGACGTGTGAAAGTGTACTACCCCGACCTATACAGACCGAGGTTGGTTTTGAGATGGTGACGCACGATTTAACGCGAGCATGTCTTTATAGATAACGTAAGGGCGGTGGGGTAGCCTTGTGGTTAAAGCGTCCCTTCGTCACGCCGAAGACCTGGCTTATAATCCCGACATGGGTACAATGGGTGAAAACAAATTCTGATGGAAGAGTGGCTGACACAAGACTAACTGGGGGAAGAGTGGCTGACACAAGACTACCTGGGGAAGTGTGGCTGACACAAGACTAACTGGGGGAAGAGTGGCTGACACAAGACTACCTGGGGAAGAGTGGCTGACACAAGACTACCTGGGGAAGAGTGGCTGACACAAGACTACCTGGGGAAGAGTGGCTGACACAGGACTACCTGGGGGAAGAGTGGCTGACACAAGACTACCTGGGGGAAGAGTGGCTGACACAAGACTACCTGGGGGAAGAGTGGCTGACACAAGACTAACTGGGGGAAGAGTGGCTGACACAAGACTACCTGGGGGAAGAGTGGCTGACACAAGACTAACTGGGGGAAGAGTGGCTGACACAGGACTAACTGGGGGAAGAGTGGCTGACACAAGACTACCTGGGGGAAGAGTGGCTGACACAAGACTAACTGGGGAAGAGTAGCTGACACAAGACTAACTGGGGAAGAGTGGCTGACACAAGACTAACTGGGGGAAGAGTGGCTGACACAAGACTAACTGGGGGAAGAGTGGCTGACACAAGACTACCTGGGGGAAGAGTGGCTGACACAAGACTACCTGGGGAAGAGTGGCTGACACAAGACTAACTGGGGAAGAGTGGCTGACACAAGACTAACTGGGGAAGAGTGGCTGACACAAGACTAACTGGGGGAAGAGTGGCTGACACAAGACTACCTGGGGGAAGAGTGGCTGACACAAGACTACCTGGGGAAGAGTGGCTGACACAAGACTAACTGGGGAAGAGTGGCTGACACAAGACTAACTGGGGAAGAGTGGCTGACACAAGACTACCTGGGGAAGAGTGGCTGACACAAGACTACCTGGGGAAGAGTAGCTGACACAAGACTACCTGGGGAAGAGTAGCTGACACAAGACTAGATGGGGAAGAGTGGCTGACACAAGACTAACTGGGGAAGAGTGGCTGACAAGACTACCTGGGGAAGAGTGGCTGACACAAGACTACCTGGGGGAAGAGTGGCTGACACAAGACTAACTGGGGAAGAGTGGCTGACACAAGACTAACTGGGGAAGAGTAGCTGACACAAGACTACCTGGGGGAAGAGTGGCTGACACAAGACTACCTGGGGAAGAGTGGCTGACACAAGACTACCTGGGGGAAGAGTGGCCGACACAAGGCTACCTGGGGAAGAGTGGCTGACACAAGACTACCTGGGGAAGAGTGGCTGACACAAGACTACCTGGGGAAGAGTGGCTGACACAAGACTACCTGGGGGAAGAGTGGCTGACACAAGACTAACTGGGGAAGAGTGGCTGACACAAGACTAACTGGGGAAGAGTAGCTGACACAAGACTACCTGGGGGAAGAGTGGCTGACACAAGACTAACTGGGGAAGAGCGGCTGACACAAGACTACCTGGGGAAGAGTGGCTGACACAAGACTACCTGGGGAAGAGTGGCTGACACAAGACTACCTGGGGAAGAGTGGCTGACACAAGACTACCTGGGGAAGAGTGGCTGACACAAGACTACCTGGGGAAGAGTGGCTGACACAAGACTACCTGGGGGAAGAGTGGCCGACACAAGACTAACTGGGGAAGAGAGGCTGACACAAGACTAACTGGGGAAGAGTAGCTGACACAAGACTACCTGGGGGAAGAGTGGCTGACACAAGACTAACTGGGGAAGAGTGGCTGACACAAGGCTACCTGGGGGAGAGTGGCTGACACAAGACTACCTGGGGAAGAGTGGCTGACACAAGACTACCTGGGGAAGAGTGGCTGACACAAGACTAACTGGAAGAAGAGTGGCTGACACAAGACTACCTGGGGAAGAGTGGCTAACACAAGACTACCTGGGGAAGAGTGGCTGACACAAGACTTACTGGGGAAGAGTGGCTGACACAAGACTAACTGGGGAAGAGTAGCTCACACAAGACTAACTGGGGAAGAGTAGCTGACACAAGACTAACTGGGGAAGAGTAGCTCACACAAGACTAACTGGGGGAAGAGTAGCTGACACAAGACTACCTGGGGAAGAGTGGCTGACACAAGACTACCTGGGGGAAGAGTGGCTGACACAAGACTAACTGGGGAAGAGTGGCTGACACAAGACTAACTGGGGAAGAGTAGCTGACACAAGACTACCTGGGGGAAGAGTGGCTGACACAAGACTACCTGGGGGAAGAGTGGCTGACTCAAGACTAACTGGGGAAGAGTGGCTGACACAAGACTAACTGGGGAAGAGTGGCTGACTCAAGACTACCTGGGGGAAGAGTGGCTGACACAAGACTAACTGGGGAAGAGTGGCTGACACAAGACTAACTGGAAGAAGAGTGGCTGACACAAGACTAACTGGGGGAAGAGTGGTTGACACAAGACTGACTGGAAGAAGAGTGGCTGACACAAGACTACCTGGGGGAAGAGCGGCTGACACAAGACTACCTGGGGGAAGAGTGGCTGACACAAGACTACCTGGGGGAAGAGTGGCTGACACAAGACTAACTGGGGGAAGAGTGGCTGACACAAGACTACCTGGGGGAAGAGTGGCTGACACAAGACTAACTGGGGGAAGAGTGGCTGACACAGGACTAACTGGGGGAAGAGTGGCTGACACAAGACTACCTGGGGGAAGAGTGGCTGACACAAGACTACCTGGGGAAGGGAAGCTGACACAAGACTAACTGGGGAAGAGTGGCTGACGCAAGACAAACTGGTTGAAGACCTGTGATGGTAGACGGACAGGTGTATATGATGTTAGGCGACTTTTAGCAATTTACCCCCAATAGCACGACTTGTGTACCGATAAAAGGGTTCAGGGCACACACTCGATGGCTAACTGGCGCAACAACAACATGTGGAAGAATGAACCATCATGTGGCGTGTGAAAAAAATAAGCTAAAACACTAGTGACTGACAACGGACAGTGTGACCAACATGTGACATGTGACCAACAGCCGGAATGATCGGAACCCCGGGGAGACCTTTTAGGAAATGATTGAACCGTTCATAAAATATAGATAGGAACATTAAATGCTGCAAGTGAGTGAGTATGGTTTTACGCCGCAATTTTCCAGCAATATCACGGCGGGGAATACCAGAAATGAGCTTCAAACATTGTACCAATTTGGGGAATCGAACCCGGGTCTTCGACGTGACAAGCGAACGCTTTAACCACTGGGCTACCTCAAATACTACAATATCATAATGCATGTACAATAAAGTACGGTTATAACGAACTCAAAGGGACTACTAATTTTAGTTCGTTATAACCGTAGTTCGTTATAAGCATATATACAGCATAACTGCAGCAAATAGTCGGGACCAAAAAAGTAAATTCGTTATATCCGTCAGTTCGTTATAAGCGTGTTCGTTATAAGCGTAGTTTACTGTTTTCCAATTCAATGTTGTACCTTGTCATGTCCCCGACCAGCAGTGAGTGGTTCGGCTTATGTCCCCGTAGGCATATTATCGGCCGCACATGTGTGAGATAATCAATATATCGATCACTGGTTGATCGAAACGCACAGGCGAAGGAGTGTAAAGGGCACAGGGAAATGACGGCGAAACGGGATCTCAGAGGCCGCAATGCTAATCCAAGTTATCCACGGTAGTGAAACAGATATGAGTGAAGGGATCTAACCGAGGCATTACGGAGACGTTGCGATAATGTTGATTGGCGAAATTAATCCTGTGGGTTAAAAGGGTTCGGTATACGTCAATATTATCGTCAGTGATCTTGACAGGGACATCCATCTCTCAACATCGAGACTTGTGATATAACACTCAATTATCAAATTAGCTGAAATTATTGTTTGCGTTTCCAAGGCAACACGTCAGGCGTATGAAGAACTAAGAGTTGATTTCCGGTGCTGTTCCAGATCATAATTTGGCTTGAAATAGCAAGAGCAGAAATGATACATTATTTTTGTTTCCAATGGCAGTTGGACATCGTTCAAATATAGGTTGGACTCAATCCCTTAACATAACACATAAACGGTTCAATATTTTTCCTATTTTAGCAAGCGACTTCTGAACTGGTGCCTTTTTGCGATTTTCTGAAAGGTATTTCATCTAAAGGCAGGGATTATGTACAGCGCCAAACATTAAAACCTTTCAATATATCCCTAAGAAACGCAAGGTCGAACATTGTACACCTTCACATTGTGAGAGGACCGCCTCCGTGGTCTAGTGGTAGAGCGTCCGCCCGGAGAGCGGAAGGTCCGGGGTTCGATCCCCGGCCGTGTCATACCAGAAGACGTTAAAAGATGGTACTTGTTGTTACCCTGTCTGGCGCTCGGCATTAAGGGGCTTAAACAAGGACTGGTCAGCTCGGAGTCAGTATACTGTGTCTGAGTGGGGTATTCATGTTAAACTGCGACATGGTATTTCAGTGTGCTAGCATTATAAATCGGCATCAGTCCGGACACACACGCACACGCACACGCACACGCACACGCACACGCACGTCGCTATATAAGTGCAATAATCTTGGACGCGACGTTAAACCCCATTTCTCCTCACCTCACATTGTGAGAAGTGGGCTTACATTTAAATGTGAAGAGGTTTTATTTCAGGAGGATGGCTCTCGAATCTGTCTGTATTGCTTAAGGAGAGTGTACACAAATATTAGGATATACTGCTTTTTGCAAAACATCATACTACTATATACTGTTTGTGTACAAACTAATTCTCTTCAAATTCACTATCCACCTATTTATACGGCCCCTCATATAAAGGTCGAGTGTTAGAAATATTCTGAAGAGTACACTGAAGTATAAAAAAATCGATTTTCTTTACTATACTGTATTCCTAAACATTTTACTTTCTACATCATATTAATTAAAGTTATCCCTAGATGTGGCTAGATTTTGTTGATCTGCATCAGAATTATCCACTAATCCATTCTGTTGTGCAAATGTGAAGTGCCGGGGTAGAATAGGTCTTCAGCAACCAATGCTTGCCATAAAAGGCGTCTATGCTTGTCGTAAGAGGCGACTAACGGGATCGGGTGGTCAGGATCGCTGACTTGGTTGACGCATGTCATCGTATCCCAGTTACGTGGATCGATGCTCATGATGTCCATCTCTGGATTGTCTGGTCCAGACTCGATTATTTACAGACCGCCGTCATATAGCTGGAATATTGCTGAGTGTGGCGTTAAACAACAAACAAACAAACACTCTGTTGTGATGCATACCATATTGAAAACATGATCATAAGTGGGCAAGCGGTCTAAAGCGCCAGGCTAGCAAGCGCCAGGTGGAGATCGTATCCCGCTAGTGACCGGTTTGACATTCAGCGTTAGGACCAACCATGTTTACAGGTCTTTACAGTGTTGTCACTACCCCCAGTGTACAGTACATACACCCTGTGCACTCAAAAGAACCCACTCGTCCGATGGTAGATGACCAGATGGTAGAAACACGAATACGTACATCCACCCGTAACACCAGACATGAAAACACGATTCAGGCAAGACTTAGAGAGTTATGGTTTTACGCCACTTGTAGCAATATTCCAGCAATATAATGACGAGGGACACCAGAAATGGCTTCACACATTATAGTGTCAAAACCCGTGGTGTCACCCTGGGCAAGTGACCTAGTTCAAATGTGCCTCTGTAAATGTCTGATAATTGTCAGATTCGATCAGTAGTGTACAGCAATTGGAAGAGGGGAGACAACTTTTCCCTTCTTATCCGAGGTCTGTGTAATCAATGTTTGTTGTGTGTACGAAGTGACGAATTGAACACTATTGAAAGCAATCTAAATTACTATTACACACACGCACGAACGCACGCACGCACACAATCACACGCACAATCACACACACACAGTGAACGTACGCATGCATGCACACACACATGCGAACGCACGCACTCACTAACTCACGCACGCACGCACACACATGCACACATCGCTATGTACATGTAAGTGAAACAATTTTAAGGCACTTTCAGTGCTTTACTGGTGAGTATACAATGTTTCACGTTATTTCACAGACGCGAATGCTTGCTTTCTTAATTTAGGGGCGGTCGGGTAGCTTAATGGTTAAAGCGTTCGCTCGTCACGCCAAAGACCCGGGTTCGATTCCCGACATGGGTACAATGTGTGAAGCCAATTTCTGGTGTCCCCCGCCGTGATATTGCTGGAATATTGCTAAAAGCGGCGTAAAACCGTACTCACTCACTCACTCACTCTTAATTTAGTCTCCAAATATGGATACACAATATGTATACAGTCACATTAGAAAAGTGCTGACACCCCATGAGTCGTTGCTGCCTTGGAAACGCCAAATATATAAATGCTGAATAGCAAAGGGCACGTTTAATGCTTTACTGGTGAGTTTACAAAGTTTCACGTTCATTTCACCAAGTGAACACTGCCCTTCTTAATTTGATGATATAATATGTATGCACATTGGGCAAATGCTGCACTTGTGCCTTTACTTGTAAGCTTCATTGTTTTATTGTCTGCGTTTCCAAATCAACCTATCGGACTTGGAACCTTGGACTGTGGACATGCAGGTAGTGAGTGTGTGTGTATGTCCGGAGAATTGCTCATGAGTGGTCAGTACTAATTGTAAAACTTCCGTGCTGGTGTTTTTTAGCTATTCAAAAAGTAGCAAGTCTTTGAACTTCATTGGTCAACGCGTTAACGTTGATGGTATGCAAGCCGGGCTTGCATCACAAAATTATAAAACTACACCAAACAAGAAAATCAATTGCGAATGACCCCTAACCGTCGGATTCTGAAGAATTTACCACAATCCAATGTCCCCATGAAACTGTGAAAACAATATACTTGAACATTTCAAAAGCGAGTTGATACCCGAGGGTATCTTGTTAGAGTCAGGATGTTGTTTCCATCACTACTTCACAACACACACACACACACACACACACACACACACACACACACACATGTTGTTCTGTGGAAGGTGGAGCCGGGCACTAGAGGATATCTTGTTAGAGTCAGGATGTTGTTTCCATCACTACTTCACAACACACATGTTGTTCTGTGGAAGGTGGAGCCGGGCACTAGAGGATATCTTGTTAGAGTCAGGATGTTGTTTCCATCACTACTTCACAACACACATGTTGTTCTGTGGAAGGTGGAGCCGGGCACTAGAGGATATCTTGTTAGAGTCAGGATGTTGTTTCCATCACTACTTCACAACACACACGTTGTTCTGTGGAAGGTGGAGCCGGGCACTAGAAGATATCTTGTTAGAGTCAGGATGTTGTTTCCATCACTACTTCATAACACACATGTTGTTCTGTGGAAGGTGGAGCCGGGCACTAGAGGAGATCTTGTTAGAGTCAGGATGTTGTTTCCATCACTACTTCATAACACACACGTTGTTCTGTGTAAGGTGGAGCCGGGCACTAGAAGATATCTTGTTAGAGTCAGGATGTTGTTTCCATCACTACTTTACAACACACATGTTGTTCTGTGGAAGGTGGAGCCTGGCACTAGAGGAGATCTTGTTAGAGTCAGGATGTTGTTTCCATCACTACTTCACAACACACACGTTGTTCTGTGGAAGGTGGAGCCGGGCACTAGAAGAGATCTTGTTAGAGTCAGGATGTTGTTTCCATCACTACTTCACAACACACACGTTGTTCTGTGGAAGGTGGAGCCGGGCACTAGAGGAGATCTTGTTAGAGTCAGGATGTTGTTTCCATCACTACTTCATAACACACATGTTGTTCTGTGGAAGGTGGAGCCGGGCACTAGAGGAGATCTTGTTAGAGTCAGGATGTTGTTTCCATCACTACTTCATAACACACATGTTGTTCTGTGGAAGGTGGAGCCGGGTACTAGAGGAGATCTTGTTAGAGTCAGGATGTTGTTTCCATCACTACTTCACAACACACACGTTGTTCTGTGGAAGGTGGAGCCTGGCACTAGAGGATATCTTGTTAGAGTCAGGATGTTGTTTCCATCACTACTTCACAATACACATGTTGTTCTGTATGAGGTGGAGCCGGGCACTAGAGGATATCTTGTTAGAGTCAGGATGTTGTTTCCATCACTACTTCACAACACACACGTTGTTCTGTGGAAGGTGGAGCCGGGCACTAGAAGATATCTTGTTAGAGTCAGGATGTTGTTTCCATCACTACTTCACAACACACTAGAGGATATCAGAGTCAGGATGTTGTTTCCATCACTACTTCACAACACACACGTTGTTCTGTGGAAGGTGGATCCGGGCACTAGAGGAGATCTTGTTAGAGTCAGGATGTTGTTTCCATCACTACTTCATAACACACATGTTGTTCTATGGAAGGTGGAGCCGGGCACTAGAGGATATCCTGTTAGAGTCAGGATGTTGTTTCCATCACTACTTCACAACACACTAGAGGATATCAGAGTCAGGATGTTGTTTCCATCACTACTTCACAACACACAC